CCTGAGTTCAATTCCCAGCAACCACATGGTGGCTCACAACCATCTACATTGAGATCTGGCGCCCTCTTCTGGCGAGCAGGTGTACATGCAGGCAGAACATTGTATACATAATAAAATAAATAAATCTTAAAAAAAGAAGAAAAAGCCCACAGAAATGTTACATAATAAAATAAATAAATCTTAAAAAAAGAAGAAAAAGCCCACAGAAATGTTATAAGGTTTTTTTTTTTCATTCTAATCCCAGGTGTGGGATGTGGGACCACTCTGCAGCAGCTGACTATGATTTGCCTGGTGCTGTGGCAGAGGCGTGATTTTTTTTTTTCCAGCTGCAGATAGTTTCTGTGATTGTGTGACGTTTGGGATTCTGGAGACTTTTCGGAGGGTATATAAATGCTAGGGCCCCCGAGAGGCAGGGTGGGTTGTTGATTGGTCGCTGGATGCTGTTGGTCAAGGTTTGTTAACTAGTCAGGAAGTAGTCTAAAGACAACATCACCCCCTTTCCAACCCCTGACTTTACTCCTGGATCTCTTTTCTTTCCTCTCTATCCTTTTTTTCCCCCTGTCTTATCCCTTAGGGGGTTGAAAGGATGGAATAACGGGAGTAGAGAAGGATGGAAGAAAGAAGAACCCACCAAGTAGCAAATGCCAGTTTCAGAGGTCTGCCTGCATCTGCCTCCCAAGAGTGCTGGGATTTAAAGGCCTGTGCCCCTACCGTCCAGCCAAAGCCCACACTTCAACAGTAAGGGAGCAAGGTGGATCTAGGAGGTCACTGGGTGAAAATGCTGTATCTTTACTTTTGTCTGTTTGTTTTGATACAAGGTTTCTCTGTGTAGCCCTGACTGTCCTGGAGCTTGCTCTATAGACCAGGCTGGCCTGGAACTCACAGATCCACCCGCCTCTGCCTTCTGATTGCTGGGATTGAAGGTGTGTGCCACCACTGCCTGGCAAGACGGAAGATTTTACAGTGCCATTCGGAAATATGCATATGGCCATATGCTCTACAAGGAAGCCATAAGCCATGGTGTCTTGGCTCCAAGGCACTGGGAAGCCACAGAGGCATATAAGCAGAGATTTTAGGAAGATCCTGTTGAAAGGAATGGATGTGTTTTGCAAACAAATAACCCCACAAACAACTAGAACGCTGCCTGAAAGAATATAAAGGAGACTCCTGTACCAATTAGACCTAGACACTCAGTCAAGGACAGTACGTGGGGGCCAGGGAGAAGGCAGGCTGTTTATAGGCACCAGTCATCAAGCCTGACAACCTGAATTCCACCCCGGGGATCTAGACGGTGGAAAGAGAGAACTAACTCCCTCAAGTTGTCCTTCGCCTTGCACACATGTGCCAGAGCACGGGAATCCCACCACCCCACATACACACATACATGCCCAAACACATGCGGTGAAGAAGGCAACGTGAGAGACTTCAGAGGCCAGGCTACAGAGAGGGAGGAAAACAGCCCTCTTTCACTTCGCCCTTTCCTCGTCCCTAACTGCCTCTCATTTGCATACAAGTTTTCGTTCATTCAGCAGAGTTTATGAACGGAAAGAGAAGAGGAGCCGTCTACAGGTACAACATCCAAACTAACGGGAGGAGCAAGCGCGAAAGCTAAGGGAAGCCAGCCTGTAGGTTTAAGGACCGGCTGAACTGAATTGCAAGGAATGAGAAGAGAGCAGGTAAAGGTCATTGGTGAGGACTTTAGCTTTAGACTGGTTACGCCAGAAGCCAGCGAATGAGTTCCGGCTGATGAAAGGCCACGGTACAACTGAAGTGTTAAAGGCATCCTTACGGCAGCAGGCATACACTGGAGGACAGCAGGGAAGCTGAGATGCCCGGAAATGGACCCACTATAATAACCCAGGCTAACGGAACTGAACTGCATGTGGCAAAGGCCGGGTCTGGAAATATTTTGAAGCCAGAACCAACAGGATTACTTGATAGGTCAGGCAGACTATATAAACAAATAAAAAAAAAAAAATTCTGCCTTGCATGGTGGTGAAGCACTCAGGGAGGCAGAGGCAGGCGGATCTCTGTGAATTCGAGGCCAGCCTCGAATCAAGTTCAGGACAGCCAAGGCTACACAGAGAAACCCTGTCTTGAAAAACCAAAATGAAATAAAATAAATGTCACAGGAATGATACAATGAAACTATTTCTATCAGACACAATATTTAGTTCCTAAAGTCTCCTCCGATTAACATAGAGCTCTCAGCTGCCTGAATGAGCAAATTGTAATTTCTGGGGTTTGAAAATAATGATGAATGGAGACTGATGTCTGAGACAGTGAGTGAGACTGCAGGATGGAAGAGTTTGTTCACTTTTCACCTTTTAACAAAGGTCTTTAGACCTGTGAAGGTAAGGCTTCTGTGTTTTCTTCAGCACTGTCTTTTTTGGTTGTTATCTTTTCTTTTTTTTTGGGGGGGGGCAGGGTTTCTCTGTGTAGCCCTGGCTGTCTTGGAGCTTAATCTGTAGGCCAGGCTGGCCTCGAACTCAGAGATCCTCCTGTCTCTGCTTCTCAAGGGCTGCAATTGAAGATATGTGCCATCACTGCCCGGGCACCACCACCGCTCGGCTGGCAGTGCCTTCTTATAGATGCGTTTCCTAAGAAGTAAGCATTCAGTAAATATTTCTCACATGTGTAACAGGCCCTCAGACTTTCCTACAACTGACTGTGTGATGGAAGAACCGTTCAGGCCTTAAAACTCAGCACATAGCATCACCTGCCAAAGTGAAAGCAAAGACCTAATCCTCTGAAGTCTATAATTCTGGGATCGTTCAAATGTACTAAACTTGCTTTTTGGCTTTTTTTAGTTTCTCTTTTGGCTACTGTTGTTTGTTTGTAGTCCTGGAACTCTGTGTAGACCAGGCTGGCCTCAAACTTTGTCTCTCGTTTGTCTCTGTGCTGGTATTAAAGTGTATGCCACCACTCTCCGGCTGGCTGACTGTTCTTACTAACTGAAGTATGTCAACCCAGACTATGGTTTCTGTGCTTAAAAACTCTCCCTGAGGAAGGGTCTGTGCTGCAGCGCAATCCCAAACACCCAGTTTAGTCACTGGAACACTAATAAAAATGTGTCTATTGACTTAAAGCCATGTCTGAGCAGCCCTCCATGGTAGATAGCCCACAACAATGAATGCCAGGCAGTAGTGGCACACATCTTTAATCCCAGTACTCGGGAAGCAAGGTCTGAGAGTTCAAGACCAGCCTGGTGTGCAAATAGAGTCCAGGAAAGCCAAGGCTACACAGAGAAACTCTGTCTCAGAGGGGGGAAAATAAAGAAGACTTAGGTACTCTGCTTCTATTTAGGGCTAGGAAAGACAACCCAGTTAGGAGAAAAGGCCCCAAAGGCAAGCAATGTAGGCAGAGACAGCCCTTGTTTCCACCGTAATCCTGCATGAAGATCCAGCTGCATAGGGCCTAGGTCTGTCCCATTCATGCTCTCTGGTTGGCATTTTGGTCTCTATGAGCCCATAGTTTTGTTTTGTTTTTGTTTGTTTGTTTGGTGATGTCTTTGACTCCTCTGGTAGCGGCCACTGTTCTTAGCCATTAAACCATCTCTCCAGCCCCTTTATCCAGATCTTGAGGTAGGATGGATAACCACAAGCTTTTTTTTTTTTTTTTAAGATTTATGTATATGAATGCTCTGCTTTCATGCACACCGGAAGTTTCCATTGTAGATGGTTGTGAGCCACCATGTGGTTGCTGGGAAGTGAACTCGGGACCTCTGGAAGAGCAGCACAGTGCTCTTAACCGCTGAGCCATCTTGCCAGCCCCGACACAAGCTTTTGATTCAGATGGACACATGCCTTTAATCCACACCTTTAACGGGGGCCGTACCTTGTGCTGGAGGCCTATGTAAGGACAGTAAAAGAAGGAAGGGATTGTTCGCTCTTCACCTGCTTCCACTCTCAGGCAGGATAGGTAGAAAGCATCCTAGAACAGGGCTGTCAGAGCGAGCCTGCCCAGGCTGATGGGCACATTCCGCCTGGAGGGCAGAGGTGTGGAGCTCGCTCTGCTTAGATGGGCTCCACCTGTGCAAGCCTGCCTTCTGGGAGGGGAAATGGCAATGTACACTTCCACCCTGGGGGTGCCCACTACTCTTCCAGGGTCTGCACTGCCTGAAACACAAAAGGGGATGTTGCGTTTTGAATTGATAGGCTGTAGGAAGGCCCCCAAACCATTAATGGTCTGGCTTCCCTTGTTTGGCTGGGAGAGGGGCTCCCTGGGCCAGTTTCCTAGCAACTGTATCTCTAGTGGGCAGGAAAAGTATGCAAGTAAGGCTGATTCCTCCCCACAGGTGGCTGGACATGTCTCCACCTGGCTGGCCTTCGTTCAGGCTTGTGCTTTAAACATTGAACCAACACCTCAAAGAACTAATTTTTAATTCTCTGGTCTCTCACCAGCACGCCCACTGGAGCCTACTTCTTTGGGATTCCAGCTTTGGCAGAAAACCAGCCGAAACACCCAGCCTCAGGGGCCTGAGCAACCCTCCACCACGCTTCCCAACAGGATGATAATGGATCAAACCTCTGAAAACCAGTAAACCTCTGTAAACCCAAACTAAGACATCTTGTCTCGGAAAACCAAGCAAATGAATGAGTGAGTGAATCAATCAATCAAACTTTTGAGTCCAGGCATGGCGGTACACGCTTGTTATCCTAGCACTCCGGAATCTGTGACAGGAGGATCAAAAAGTTGGAGGCCAGCCTGAGCTATACGGTGAAATCCTGTCTCAAAACACAGACCATCTAGTACATTTTCCCGTTCCCACTCTGCGGTCAGCTTCACGACGGTCTTTTCCCTCCGGAAAGGACAGGCAGGTGGCAGGAACCCGTAACTGGACGTTAGGAGCCTTCAGAGAGCAACGCAAAACCCCGATTGAGCAAGAATCACGAACAGGAATGAGCGCACTAGAGGTGGGCGTGGCCAGACGGCTTCCGGGAACGCCTCCCGCGGCCACTCTAGCAGCTCGGAGGACCGAGTTCGGCTCCTCCTCCCTCAGCTTCCGGCCGGTCGGAATTCCGCTTCCCGTCTGACATTGGCGTCTTTGCTAAGGGTCACATTGAACTAACGCCGCTCCGGGGCAGTCTTTAGGTGAGTGCGAAGGGTCGGGAGCCCTGGGGACCCGAGTCCGGGACCGAGAAGCGGCCCGGGCCTTCCCTGATGCCTGGAAGAGACTTCCGGCTGCCGTGGCCGCCCGGGGCCTGGGGTTCTGGAGCTGACCATCATAGTCTTTCTCGATGATGCCGGGTCGCCTTGTGAGCAGTCTCTGTTCACTTCCTCCATCCTCCAGCCCCACGAGCCGGGGTCTGCCGTTATCCCCTTTGACAGCGCCGGGGCTGGAGTGTGTAGCGCCTCAGCCGCGACTAGAAGGCGATGAGGATTTGGATCCAGATAATTGGACTCTGGTGCCTTTAGCCGCGGGGTTCACAGGCGTGGCCACCCGCTCTCCAAGGCCGAAGCCTGTCGCCTTGTCACGTTCCTTTCCCCTCAGCATCATCTTTGACCAACTCTCAAAACTCCTTTTATTGCCCAAAATTGCTTCCGACACGGGGTCTTTTAAATCCCGCGTACCCATCCTGCCACCCCAATGGCGCTATTCTACTGTCCAGACGCCCCAGTTCTTTGGGCTACGTGAATTGACGTTGGCCCATTGGTCTGCCTGCGCACCTCAGTGGCCCTAAGGTCGTCCAGATGCTATAGCATAGAGACAGTTTCTCTCAGGTTCGTTGATGTTCGCTCTGTCATCTTTTCAGACATATCAAAGGTTTATTATTATTATTATTATTATTATTATTATTATTATTATTATTAGCAGCCATGGGTACTCAGGGTCAATAGAATTTAAGGAGCTAAGGTATTGGAATGCATGGGGGTGGTTTGCATGGTAGTTTTATTAACCTCTAAATGAAATGCAGCAGCATATACTTCCGTCGGGAACGGAGATTGGCAACATACGGGACTTTGTCAGCAGTCAGTCACAGATACCTGACACATTCCGGGTCATAAATCACCATCTTCACTGAGGGTCGCCACCTCCAGTTGTGGTACTTGCTAAATCCTTTTAGCTCGTTTTTGGTTTTGTTTTTGTCATCTTAAGCAGTTTTGCAGTACATTTAGGCATATTCTGAGAAAACTTTATGATGAGTGTGTGACACCGAAAGCTTTTAAAATCCTTGTTTTTGATGATGGTGGATACAGCATAACCCCTGGGTGCTGTATGACCTTGGGAAGCCATTTAGGCACCCTGTCCCTTGCGTGGACAACAGAGGTAGTAATGCCTTTTAGAGTGACCGTGTGGGTAGGTATGTATAGAACACACATGCTATGCACACAGGAAGTGTTAACTGGAGTTTAAGGCTGAAGACGGGTTTTGCCAGCGAGACCCCTGCCCAGCCCTGCTGTATAGATGTACAGATTTTCCCTGCCCCTCATCTTTCTACGACGAGCATAATACCTTGTTGGCCTTCAGCACATTCTTCTGTTCTGGACTTCTTGCGTGGGCCCCGTTGGCCTGGCACCCCCATGCTCAGGCACCCCTAGAATGGTCGCCAATGTTCCCACTGTGTTTGCGTCCAGGCACCAGCACCATGGCTGAAGACATCAAGACTAAAATCAAGAACTACAAGACCGCCCCCTTTGACAGCCGCTTCCCAAACCAGAACCAGACCAAGAACTGCTGGCAGAACTACCTGGGTAAGCAGGGCGTCAGGGTGGGAGAGGCGTGTGTGTGGATCTTGCCTGGGTCTCCATATTCCTCCTACCTCAGAAGGGAAGTTAGGAGGCCGGGGCAGGGACCTCTACATTCCAGCCTGTTGTCATTCACTCGACATACCGTCTGCAGAACCCTGATAAACTCAGCAGTAGTCTTTGGAAGAGTTATGTACGCATATTTGTGTCCACCCGTGCACACAACATACAAGTAAATACAACAGGAAAATAATGGATTCAGAAATGTCTCCTGCAGTCACTGTGCATGAAGAAAAATGGGTGTCACCAGCACTCTGCTCTTCGCCTGCTTTGTGCCCAGTCTTCAGCACAGTTCCTTTTCTCTCTCACTAGACGCCATTAATTGCAATTGGTCACATTTTGGTGCCCCTGCCACACTTGAGTCCATGAGACCTTCCCTCAAAAAATAAAAAGTAGAAAGCAGGGGCTGGAGGAACGGCTCAGAGGTTTGGAGCACTGGCTGCTCCCAGAGGTCCCGAGTTCAGTCCCCAGCAACCATGTGGTGGCCATAACCATCTAGAAGGAGATCTGGTGCCCCCTTCTGGCCTGCGGGCTTCAGAACACTATGCATGATAAATAAAAGAGTAAAAAGCAAAACAAACCCCAGTACCCCTCTCTGCCGTCCCTCGTGATCAAGCCCGTCTTCTTTCCTCGACCTGCCTGGACTTCCATAACCCTGTATATGCCCCTCATACTTGGCTGTCATTCCCAGCTCCAGGGCGTTCTAATTGAGCAAGTGTCGCTGCCCAGGTCAGGTATAGACAACTCTTGATAGTGTACTTGTAAGTGTGCGTCCCCTCTGTGTGTAGAAGCAGTCATGAAGCAAAAGCTACCTGGGAATTTTCCTCAGAAATGTGCTTGGTCTCAGTTGATCTCCGGCCTCTTCTCTTGACAGACTTTCACCGCTGTGAGAAGGCGATGAACGCAAAGGGGGGTGACGTCTCCGTGTGTGAGTGGTACCGGCGTGTGTACAAGTCCCTCTGCCCCATATCATGGGTATGTGCCTCCCCGTGGGACCCTGGGGTGTTCAGGTGGGGACCTAGTGGAGAGGACTATGGTGGCTAGTAAGAGTTCATCTCCAAGGGCCAAGGCAGGCCCAGCATGGAATGTCACGATGCCTCCTCAGTTAGGGTCTCTGAGGTCTGCCTTGCACTGTGGAAACAGGGACTTTGACTGGGCTGTCATAACACACGCCTTTAATCCCAGCACTCAGGAGGCAGACAGGTGAGTCTGTGAGTTTGTGGCCAACCTGGCCTGCAGACCTAGGACAGCCAGGACAGCATGGCAACAGAGAGGGGAAAAAAAAGGAAAAAGAAAGAAAGTGGGGGTTGGTGCTGGAGAGATGACTCCGCGGTGAAGGCCACTGACTGCTCTTCCAGAGGACCTGGGTTCAACTCCCAGTGCCCACACGGCAGCTCACAACTGTAACTTCAGGATCTGACACCTTCACATGAACATACGCGCAGGCAAAACATAAATACACATAAAATTTTTTTTTTTAATTAAAAAAAGAAAGGAAAAGAAACAAAACAAAAGCATGTGTCTTAGAATCAAAATGTGATGGTTTACTTTGGTGTGGTGGGAGCATGCCTGAAATCCTAGCACTCAGGAGGTGGATCAGAAGTTAAAGGTCACGTTGGCGTACTTGAAAACCCTCTCGTGTCTTCAAATGTGTGTGTGTGAATCTGGGGCTCTCACGTGTACCTGTGGGGTAAGTAGAAGGTTTTGATCACTGTGGTTACAGGTGGTTGCATACTAGGAATCAGTCCTGGGTCCTCTGCAAGAGCAATGAGTCCATTCACTTGGTGAATCATCTCTCCAGCCCCTCATACTGGATATTTGCTTTGACCTGTGGGGTGGTAGCTATTGTTAGACCAAGTCTTATGTAGTCTAGACTGTCTTCAAACTTGCTCTGTGGTCAGGAATGAGCTTGTACCCCAGAGAGCTGGGCTCCCAGGATCAGGCCACCCCACCCTGCCCGAAGCAGTGCTTCCTGTCCTGGACAAGCAGTCTGCCAGCGGGGCCGCATCCCCAGCTGTCACTAGGTCAGCCACCACCGCCACCCCTCTTAACTGTGGGACGGAAATTTAAAAGACATATATTTTTTTAATTACATTTTTATTTCTTATATTAACTACAGTTTGTTCACTCTGTGTCCCAGCTGTAGCCCCTCCCTCGTTCCCTCCCAGCTACACCCTCCCTCCCTCATCTCCTTCCATGCCCCTCTCCAAGTCCACTGATAGGGGAGGTCCTCCTCCCCTTCCATCTGACCCTAGCTTATCAGGTCTCATCAGGACTAGCTGCATTGTCCTCCTGTGTGGCCTGGCAAGGCTGCTCCCCCCTCTGGGGTGGTCAGAGAACCTGCCACTGAGTTCATGTCAGAGACCATCTAAAAGACATTTTTAAATAACATGTAAATCCTTTTTATTTTGTTCCTGCCTTGATGGCCATATTTAAGATGTCCTAGTGAGACACTCTTTCCTGTGTGTGGATGTGTGGTGTCTCAGAGGTCAGAAGAGGCCATTGCAACCCCCAGAACCAGAGTTGTGGGTGGCCATGAGCCACCATGGGGTGCAGCTCCTCTTCAAGAGCAGTCAGTGCTCTTACTCTCTGAACTCTCAGCGTGTCCATCTCTCCAGCCTCTGTGCTTTTTGGTTCCTTTTTTTGTTTTTTTCAAGACAGGGTTCTCTGGGTAGCACAGGCTGCTCTAGAATTCACTTTGTAGACCAGACTGGCCTTGAACTAACAGAGCCACCCACCTCTGCCACCCAAGTGCTGGGATTAAAGCTTGTTTATTATTTGTCTCGTTTATTTATTGTTTTATTAGGCAGGATTTCTCTCTGTAGCCCTGCTATCCTAGAACTAGCCCTGTAGACCAGGCTGTCCATAAGTACACAAAGATCTGCCTGCCTCTGCCTCCTGAGTGCTGGGATTAAAGGTGTGTGCCACCACCACCCAGATATTTTTAAATTTTTTAAAAAACTGTTTTTTATGTGTGGATCTTTTACTTACATGTATGTTTTGTACCACATGTGTGCCCGGTGCACATGAGGCTAGGATCCCCTAGAACTGGAGTTACAGGTGTTTGTGAGCCACCTTGCGGGAGCTAAGAATTGAACAAATGCTCTTAACTGCTGAGCTGTCTTTCTAGCCCCCAGTTCTCACTGTTTAGGCTGTAGCTCTGACTAGCCTGGTACTTACTGTAAACACTAAGCAGTCTTCTGCCTCCGCCTTCCCAGAGCTGGGATTCCAGGTATCGGGCGGCCGCTGGCCTATCAGCCTGTGCACTTGGCCTCTGTTATAAGAAGCCCTGTGTCTTTCCTCTCAGCTCTCTGCTCTACCCTCTTATCTGAAGCTCCAGGATTTCTTCCTGTGTGACCTCACAGCGCCCTTGCCCAGCCTCTAGGCCTGGATAGGGTACATAGTGGCTAGGTTATAGGGAGTGTGCTTCCAGTATTCGTGTGTGTGTGTGTGTGTGTGTGTGTGTAGGACAATTTGGGAGAGCCATTTCCTTCCTTTCATCATGTGGGTTCTGGAGTTAAATTCAGGTGATGACCAGGGTCAGGTGATGACCAGGTGATGATCAGGCTTCCAGGGTAAGTACATTTATGAGCTAAGCCAGTTTCTTTGTTGGCTGGTTTGTGCGTTTGTGTTTTGTTTTGTTTTGTTTTTTGTTTTCTTTGTTTGTTTGTTTGGTTTTTGGTTTTTATTTTTATTTTTTGGGTTTTGTTGTTGTTGTTTCTTTTGAGACAGGGTTTCTCTGTCTGTCCTAGACTCACTTTGCAGACCAGGCTGGCCTCAAATTCACAGAGATCCAATTGCTTCTGCCTCCCAAGTGCTGGGACTACAGGCGTGTGTCACCACACCTGGCAGTTTTTGTTTTTTTTTTTGAGACGGGGTTTCTCTGTGTGGCCTAGCTGTCTTGGAACTAGGCTGGCCTCAAACACAGAAGTCTGCCTACCTCTGCCTTCTGAGTGGTACCAGCCAGCTGTGCTTTGCTGTTAAGATTTTATTAATTATGTGTTTGGGTGTGTGCATTTGAGTGTAGTGCCCACAAAGCCAGAGGAACCGGAGTCCTGATCAATTGATCGGGAGCCTTCTTTCTGGAACTGAGCTCCTCTTCACCAGAGTCAGCTTGCCACCCCCATCTGTGTGGGCTTGTTGGTATTTTGAGGTTTTTTAGCTTTTAATTACATTTATATGTATGTTGGGGTGAACTCAGATTCCTGAGGTGGCCAGAAGAAAAGGCCAGTTTGCTGACCTGGATTTACAGGCTGCAGCTTGACGTGGATGCTGGGAACTGAACTCCAGGCCCCTGCAAGAGACAAGAGCAGCCAGTGTTCTTAAGTACTGAGGAGGCAACTCCCTAGATGTGTGTCTATGTGTGACTTTATAGGTATGGCTAATTCTCTGTATTTTCCTTTTTTTGAGTAAGGTATCCATGGCAAGAAATGTTTTTCCCTCTGTTTGCATGGTTGTTTTGTTTGTTTGTTTTGTGTGAAGTAGGACAACCCGGGTAAAGGGTAATTTGCCAAGGTCAAAAGGTCATTGTGCCTCTGCCCTAGTTTTTGTTGAGGTTATTGTCTTGGGACAGCCTCATGTATTCTCGGCCCATGGATGCTAACCTTGACCCTCCAGTCATTGGCCTCTACCTCCTAAGTGCTGGGATGGTAAAAGTGCCACCATGCCTGTGGCTTCTTTGTGTGTTTTGGGTTGGTGGGTTTCTGTTGTTGTTGTTATTGTTTTAGATTTAATTTTTTTTATTTTTGTGTCTTGAGTGTTTTGCCTTCATTAGGTGTGTGTACCGAGCAGTTGCCTGGTGCCTGTCCAGGTCAAAAGAAGACATTGGATCCCATGGGACTGGAGCTACAATAGTTGTGAGCCACCATTTTGGTGCTGGAATCAAAACAGCAAGTGCTCTTAACCACTGAGCCAGCCATCTTTCCAGCTCCCTTCCTGTGCCTTAAATGCTCATTTAAATAACTGATTTTTAAAACGATTTATCTCTACCCTGTGTGTTTGGTGTTTGGCCTGCTTGTATGTCTGTGCATCATGTGTGTGCAGTTCCCGCAGAGGCCAGGAGAGGGCACCAGATCCCTAGAAATGGAGTTGCAGGCTGTTATGAGCTGCCATGTGGATGCTGGGAATTGAATCCTGGTCCTCTGCAAGAGCAGCCAGTGCTCTTTACTGCTGAGCCCTCACTCCAGCCCTTAATTTAAACATTAATAAATAAAAACTTGTGCTGAGTGTGGTGACACGGGCTTTGCCAGCCCTGAGGGGGCATAGGCCAGTCAGGTTCCAGGACAGCCAGAGTGATGTAGAGAAGTCCTGTCTTAACAAAATGACCTCCACCCCAAAACAAACCAAAAATGAAACCTTTAACGGTAAACCCAGTGACTGCGAAATCCCGAGAGGCCTATGGCCAGGGAAGTCAGTGTGTGGGACCCGGGGGAGGCCAGTGTGGGAAGGCGCGTCCTGTACCGGTCCCCGCCGCCGCTGAACAGCAGAGGTGTTTTGCTGTTATTTTTTGTAGGCTGCTGCAGCCATGACAAGGCTTGGTGCTGGCATGTGGTCGGTGGCAGGCTTTGTGACGGGGTGGTGTCGCCTCTGTAAGCTGATCCAGTCCCCTGTGGTTAGATTGCAGTCTTCATTATCCATGCTTTTATCTGATGACTCAGCCTCTCACAAATGTGAGAGTGTGAAACGGCTCAGGGAATAAATGCCCTTGCTGCCAAGCCTGAAGACCCGAACTGCATTCCAGACCTACCCGGGAGGACAGAACAGCTCCTTGTGTCGTTCTCTCTCTCTCTCTCTTTCTCTCTCTCTCTCTCTCTCTCTGTCTCTCTGTCTCTCTCATACACACAAATGTAGTGAAAACAGAGAGCACTCATAACTAAGTAGGGCAGGGCTGGAGAGCTGGCTTAGAGGTGAAGAGCACTGTCTTCTCTTCCAGAGGTTCTGAGTTCAATTCCCAGCAACCACATGGTGGCTCACAACCATCTATAATGAATGAAATCTGGTACCCTGAGGCTTTTTCTCTTCTTTTGTTTCTTTCTTTTTCTTTTCTTTTTTTTTGGAGGCATTTTCTTAATTGAGGTTCGTTCCCCTCAGATGACTTTAGCATGTGTCAGGTTGACATAAAACTAACGTACCTAGTATTCCTTTTCTTCTCTGTTCTGACAAGCAACATACAGTATAAATTCTGGAGCTCCTCTAGGAGGGCATAGTTACACTTTTTTATCCTTCAAAGCTTTACCTGTGGGGCTGGAAGGATGGCCCCAAGCTTGATTCCTTCCCACGTGGTGGTCACAATCATCTAGACGTGCAGTTCTGGGACAGCCGATGCCTCTTCTGGCCTCTGTGGGCACCAGGCAGCACACACTCAGGCATCATGTGGATGAAGCACTCATAGACGTAAAATAAAAATACATCTTTTTTTGTTTGTTTGTTTTGTTTTTGCTTTCCAAGACAGATTTTCTCTGTGTAGCTCTAGCTATTGTAGAACTCACTTTGTAGACCAGGCTAGCCTTGAACTCACAGAGATCCATCTACTCCTAAGTGCTGGGATTAAAGGTGGGCACCACCGTTGCCCAGAAAAATAAATGAATCTTAAAAAGTACTGTTGTGGCCAGGCTGTGGTGGCACACACCTTTAATCCCAGCAACCAGGAGGAAAAGGCAGGTGGATCTCTGAGTTTGAGGCCACGCTGATCCGCAGGGTTCCAGGGCTACCCAGTGAATCCCTTTCTTGAGAAACCAGTACACACACGCTGTTGTTACGTGCATGTGAGTTCAGATACCCAAGGAGACCAGAAGGTGCCAGAGCACTTGGAGTGGATTACATGCAGTGTGAGCTCCCTGGTGTGGGTGCTGCGGGCCAAGCTGGGGTTCTCTGCAAGGGCAGCTCGCTGTTGACTGGCGATGCCAGGATCTGTCGCCCTCTTCCGCAGACTGTCAGCTCGTTTAGAAAAGTGGCTTTTCTTTTTGGGTCACTGTTGATTCTCTGTGACCTGGGACGGTAATTGTGCCCAGGAGGCAGTCGTGTGTTGACCGCAGGCATAGGTGGGTACCCTAAGGCTTTGCCAAAGCAGGAGTTACAGCAGTTGTCTTTTGCAGGTCTCAGCCTGGGATGACCGCATTGCAGAAGGCACATTTCCTGGGAAGATCTGACCTGGCCTGCCCACCTCTCCCCTGTTCTCTTTCCCCCGGATAGTAAAGGGGCACCTGGGTATGTGATGGTCCCTACCCCGGGACCCTGAATCATGATGCGACTGCTAATAAAAACTCTGGAAAAGTTTCACACTGTGTGTGTTCAACAGCTGGACCAGAAGCTGGTGTGCCCTGGCCCAGAAGGGGTCTCAGAAGGGGTCTCGTGGTGGTTCTTTCTTGATTTTAGAATGAAAAGGAGATTTCTTTTTAAAGGTATATTTGTTTGCCTGCTTGTTTGTTATTTTATGTGCGTGTGTATACTTGTGTAAGTGTGCCTGGGGGGAGTGAGTTGGAACTGGAGTTACAGCTAGTAATGATTACCAGGAACCAAACTTCAGCTCCCTGCAAGAGCAGTAAGTATTTTGTTGCTTCATGGATGTTTTGCCTGCACGTGTCTGTGTGTATGGTGTGTCTGCAGAGGCCAGAAGGGGCGTCACTTACCTAGGGCTGGACTTACATGCTGTTGTGAGCAGCCACGTGGGTGCTGGGAAGTGAGCCTGGGTCCACTGGAGGGACAGCCAGCGCTCTAACCCTGAACTGTCTCTCCAGTCTCCTGGGGTTTTTTTGTTTTTTGTTTTGTTTTGTTTTACTGCTTTGTTTGGTTTTGTAGACTTGGACCAGCTGTGTGACAGTGGAGTGGATGGTCACACAAAATAGCTTTAAGTCTCCAATGTGCTGAAATTAACTATGTTTCCCCTTTTCTGTATGGATTTTTTTTTCCCCTTGCCAGTACTGGGAATTGAACCCACAGCCTCATGCATGCTAGGCTCCCAGCTGGAGTCACCAGTCCTGGACGAATGCCCCTTCCATTTCCTAACTACTCTCCTTTTCATGTTTCGCTTTGGTTTCTCATGCAGCCCAGGGTGACCTTGAACTCCAGATCTGCTTGCCTGTGCATCTCGGGTGTTGTGGTGACAGGATGCTAAGGATTATTCTATTTTTATTTCTGTGCATGTATGTAGCAGGGAGCTATGTGAACAGGGGTGTAGCACTCATGGAGGCCAGAACTTGTGTGACAGGCTAGGAGGTTATGAGCTGCCTGACACAGGTGCTGGAAACCAAGATCGGGTCCTTTGCAAGAGCAGCAAGCCTGTTTTGTTTTGCGACAGGGTTTCTCTGTGTAGCCTTGGCTGTCTTGGACTTGTTTTGTAGACCAGGCTGGTCTTGAACTTACAGAGATTCGCCTGCCTCCCAGAGTGCTGGGATCGCAGGCATGCACCCATCACAACCAGCTAGCAGCAAGCATTCCTAACCACAGAGTCACCTCTCCAGCCCTGCCCCTTAGTTTTTAAGTAAACCTTGGAGATGCTATTTCATCCATAAGATTTTTCTCTCGCCCTCCCCTTTGCCCTCCCTCTCTCCATTGTAGCTTCATTGGAGTACATGAAGTTTTCATGGTAACTGGCTGGCTTCAAACTTAAAAATTTCATCAGCCCCATTAGTGCGTGGCTTGCACACACCGCCCACTGGGTATCCAGGGTTCTAAGATGCAAGAACTTTTCAGTGCCTTCTTCCCCTCTTGAAAGTTATGGCCTGCACAGCAATGTATGGGAGTCGGCCTGGCCAGCCGTCAAACCTCAAGGGATTCCAGGGACACTTCTGATGTGTCTGATGAGCATTCAGATGAATGGAGATGCTGCCTGTCCTGAAGATAATGGTCTTGGCGGGATCTCTAAGACACTTGCTGAGGAGGGACTAATTGTCACAGGCTTACAGAATGAGAACTGTTTTCTTGGTCCTGGGGCCAGCCCCTCACTGGGGGGTTCCAGGCAGGGGCTCCACCACTGAGCCACACCCCAGCCCCTCACTGGGGG